CAGCACTAGATAACTAAGATAGTCACCAAAAGTAAAGAGATATTAACAAGCAGGGCCAAGTTTCAGCAGGAGTGTAGAGGAATATATTCTTCAAAGGCCAGCCTACAAGACCTCAGGAACCCTGAAAACCCCAAGAAATTAAATGCAATATGTTTTCTTTTATGTTGTGGAAATAGTCACAACATAATATTAGAAAATCTATTCATAGCTTTGGACAACCAATCCATGAGTTATTATATATTTTGGATAGAAAAGATTTTCAGATTCTGAGTAGCAACAACAAAATGTGAATTAATTAATCATCATAGAAAGCAGTAAGAACCTGACTGTATGTGGTCTCTGGTTCCACATGGATGATAGCATGAATCCCTTTGGTCCACGAAGCACTAGAGAGACAATATTTAATACATGGGAAGGAGTTTAATTGCTTTTTACTACTGTTTCAGAAGCAACTTTAACTCTTTTCTTTCTTTCACTCTCTGGTGATGGAGGTCAAGCCAAGGGAAGCTAGGCTAATCATCAGGCATGTTACCATATAAGCCCAGAATAAACTACCACTCGGCTGTGTTCCTGAGTAGTGCAAACAGTTTGTACTCAACTACTAACCTAAAGATTGACAGTTCAAATCTACCCAGCAGTGCCATGGAAAAAAGGCCTGGTGATCTGCTTCTGTGAATATTACAGCCAAGACAACCCTATGGAGCATGGTGTCGCATGGGTTGAAAATGACTTGACAGCAATGGGTGTGGTTTTCTTGTTCTCTTCGGTAATGATTTGCCCTCAACTTTACCTGTTGCCATCAAAATTCCGACTCACAGCGACCCTATAGGACAGAGTAGAGCTGCCCTATAGGGTTCCCAAGGCTGTAAATCTTTATGGAAGCAGAGTGCCACATCTTTGTCCTGCAGAGTGGCTGGTGGGTTTAAATAACCAATCTTTCGGTTAGCAGTCAAGTGCTTTAACCACTGCGCCACCAGGGCTCCTGCCCTTAACTTATAATATCTAAATACGCTGCATTTTGAGATGCTGTACTTTCATACGTGCCTTTCTCTATTTCCGAAGTGTCTTTGTCTATCTAGAAAACTTCTATGTATTTGTTTCTTAAGACTTAGTTCAAAACTATCTTTCTCTGTGTAGACTTTGGTGATCCCTTCCTTTACATCAGGTCCCAAGAATTAGTTTCTGTTTTGTGAGTATTCCAACAGAATCCTGCAATGCTTGCTTCTGTTTTCAGGTTGTATCTCATTCCCTGTGCACTAGCTCTCTCCTTTACTGTACTGTGAGGTATTGAGGACAGGGTCTGCATTTAGTTAATCTGAATATTCTTAAGATTAAATGCTAGCTTTTAAAAGATCGCTGAAGCAACAAGTGAATTAGCACAAGAAACCTGGCTTGTCTGTAGGGTGTGCATTCATACTGGCAATCTCTGCTTTGAGGAAAACACAGACAATAAGTCACTTTACAATGGCTAAAGACACTGCAGCCTATTTTATGAGCCAATAGAGAATTTATCCTCTTTTATGTAGGCATTTTACATTCTTATTTGGTGAATGTTTCACAAATGTTATTATCCTATGTCTGAATTTTCTAGAACTTGAGTGCTCTGAACAACAAAGACCTGGCTATCTACTTCCTAAAAATCAGCCATTGAGAACTCTATAGAGCACAGATCTACTCTGACACACATGAGGTCACCATGAGTTGGAATCAACTCGATAGCAACTGGTTTTGGTTTTTTTCAATGTGGGCATTAACAAGTTACTGACTATCCTCAGCCGTTTAGATGACGGCCAATTTCATAGGAAATCAGAAAGTAAATACAAGGGCAGGGATCAAGAAACAGATAATAGAATGGGAAAAAGGGAGGGAAATAGAATTTTCTGGAGATGTTGCTTACGGTTTTGGGGTATCTGCAGCATCTCTGGGAAGGAGCAGGAAAAGTAGAATCAAGACTGGCCCGGGCAGTTGATTTTCCCTCATGGTGTAGAGAGGAATAGGAAAGAATGGGAATCTGTGCACTTTATTCCTTGAACTCTGTTCTTGCTCCAGATTCACTGGTTTCTATTTTACCTGATCAACAGTGAAAGTAAACTGCCAACTCTTTATTTTTGTAACATATTAACCACTTCCAGTATTAAAAAATCAATTCCAGGTCATTTCCATGGTAATCAGCATTCTTTCATCCACTTCATCAAATTGTTCAAATGCTTAAAGAGTAGTACTTTGAGGCTACCGTTGGCTAGGATTATTAATTAGAATTTTAAATATTTGTAAGTAAAAACAAAATAAATTATATGGTTTGGTGAAGTCAATCAGTATTCTTGACTTTATTTTTTAAAGGCTATTAATGTAAAGACACTATATCTCAAATCTCTTCTTAGTAGTCTGAGGAATATCACATATATTCAGCAGGGTTCATCCTAAATGACTCTTTAATGAAACAAAGTTATGAAATTTTTCACAGAATTTAAAACAAAATAAGTTCAAAGGCAATTTCCCCATTATTTAAAAGCTTAATTGTTGTTGCTTATAGCTGTCTTTTTATTTGTTTATTAAAAAAGTAATATATACTTATTGTTTCTTAGTTCATTCAACTTCTAGAATACAAAGCTAATTAATTTATTTTTATTCCCTAAGTAAATGAATGCTATATGATGAACATTCTTGTTTAGTTTTACCTCCAGCAACAACAACAAAAAATATCAATAGTGATTCATTATCCTATTTGCTTTCCAAGGCAGATGGGGTTGTTAGAATCTATTCTGTGCAAATTTGAAAATATGAAAGATCCACAGTGTTGTATTAATATAAGTGGGTTCTCACAAAGTCGAAGTGTGTATGTTTTAAATAGAAAATGGATATAAATTATAAAATGTGATATAAATAGAAACTGGCACTTCTATGGATGGGAATATTTTATTGGCATCACTTGTGAATTGAGATGAGTTAGGTCTTGCTTGCTAAAAGTAAAGAGGACTTGAAGTGCTTACAGATGAAGATCAAAGACTACAGTCTTCCGTATGGATTGCACTTTAACGTAAAGAAAACAAAAATCCTCACAAAACTGGACCAGTAAACGACATCACGATAAACAGAGAAAAGATTGACGTTGTCAAGGATTTCATTTTACTTGGATCGATAATCAATGCCCGTGGAAACAGCAGTCAAGAAATCAAATGACATATTGCATTGGAAAAATCTGCTGGCTGCAAAAGGCCTCGTTAAAGCATTAAAAAGCAAAGATGTCACTTTGAGGACTAAGGTACACCTGACCCAAGCCATGGTATTTTCAATTGCCTCACATGCATGCGAAGGCTGGACAATGAATAAGGAAGACTGAAGAAGAATTGATGCCTTTGAATTCTGGTGTTGGTGAAGAATATTGAATACACCATGGACTGCCAGAAAAATGAACAAATCCGTCTTGCAAGAAGTACAGCCAGAATGCTCCTTAGAAGCAAGGATGGCGAGACTTCGTCTCACGTACTTTGGACAAGTTATCAGGAGGGACCTGTCCCTGGAGAAGGACATCATGCTTGGTAAAGTAGAGGGTCAGCAAAAAAGAGGAAGACCCTCAAAGAGATGGGTTGACACAGTGGCTGCAGCAATGAGCTCAAACATAACAACAATTTTGAGGATGGCGCAGGACCAGGCAGTGTTTCGTTCTGTTGTACATAGGGTCACTATGAGTTGAAATGACTCAACGGCACTTAGCAACAACAGCACGTCTTGACATGTATTTCTTAAAATGATCTAGGTGACTGAGAAGTGGAAATAATGTACATGCCAACATTGGTGGACTGTAAAACTACAGATATGTAAGATATTAAAATTCCAATGATGACAATAAACTATGGGTGATAAAATGCCAAGTCAAATAGGATAAACTTTAATAATACATTCTGCTAGCCCTTGGTAGCTGACAAATGCTTGCTGAATGAATGTAAAATCTTCTGTTTCTATTTATTTTTGTGTGAAAATATACACAGCAAAGGACACACAGTTTCAACAAATTTTATATGTATGATTCAGTGACATTGTTTACAACCTTCAAGTTGTGTAACCGTTCTCACTATCCTTTTCCAAATTATTCTACCACCCTTAACATAAATTCACTGCCCCCTAAGCTTCTCATCTAAACTTTTGAGATGCTTTTGTCAGTCTGATCCCACATAGATAATTCTTAAAAAGAATACAGTGCTCAAGGTGGACACATTTACTAAATAAGCTAAACTATTGTTTGGCTCAAAGCAGACTTCAGGGGATAGTTTTGGTTGGAGATTTAAGGTTTAAAGATTATCTCAGGGCAATAGTTTCAGGGATTCATCCAGCCACAATTGCTCCAGAGGGTCGGGATTCCATTGAGAATTTAACCCTTTTGTGACTTGTGGAACATAAGGTATCCTACTCACTTCTTGTGCCTCTGGAGTTCTTTGGGAGTATACCTTTCCTGCCGAGAGTATCTGCTTCCCTCCTATGGGGACTTGTATAACAGTGAAAGGTGAAAGAAACATTTGTTGAAGCAAAATAGCTGGGGTATTAGACAAAACCAGAGGTGCCCCATGTACCCAAATGGAAGGTGGCCCATAATAAAGCCTGCTACCCAAGACTAGTGGGCCAGATGGACGCCCACAAATCATGTATTTTCACATATTTCTCAAAATCCATATTACCAACCAAAAATTTAAACACACTCAATAACTCATAAGCATTCCACTGCTGAAAACACATGGTATCAACAAAAAATTCAAAGCAGAAAATAACTGGGTCTTGAAAGGGTTAAAAGTCTGTTCTGCTTCCCCCCATCCCTTTTGATCAGGATACTTATACAGAATCTTAGATCAAAACGTTTGGTAACGGTAGCCAGACACTATCTAGTTCTTCTGGTCTTATAAGCACAGGAGGCAGTTGTTTAGGGAGGCAACCAGACATGCATTCCATTTGCTCTTCCAGTTCCTGACTCTCTTTCTTCCTCTGCAACTTCAGCTGAACTGAGACCTATTATCGTAGTGTGGATGGCCATTTGCAAGCTTTTAAGACCCCGAGAAGTACACAACAAATTAGGAGGTAGAACAGAAGAACTGAAAAAGAGTATTAGGCCAGTTGACTTGGATGTCCCATGAAACTATGACCCTAAACCTCCAAACAAAGAAAACAAATTACATGAGGTGTTTGGTTGTACATAAGCAGCATCAGCAGTTGCTCTTTTTTTTGACTCCTCT